GACAAGAAACCCATCCCACCAATAGTAAGAGGTGGGTGTTCCAACGGTGAGTCGCAAAAACGTTTTCTCTATAATGGGGAATTAAACTTTTTAAAAAGTGTGAGTGAGCGGGAGGGCACCGCGCTGACGCAATTGTCAAGATACAACCGTCACCGCAGTCAGCTCGCAAAGTACATCCTGTTGGAGACGTCTCGCACGATCCATTCCATCCCTTCTAGTAATCCGTCACCTGTCTTTGCACTGCATGTGCACAGCTGGACGTGTCGCCTCCCTTTTTTAATGACGTCAATGTCTAACTGTCGTGCTATTTCTTCCGGAGTGAGCGCCGCAGGGAGGTCCTGCTTATTTAAAAACACTAGCAGGCTCGCACCCGCCAACCGCTCCTCTTGAAGGAGTGCATGAAGCTCCGTCCTGCAGTCCTCCAGCCGTGCCACGTCGTTGCTATCCACCACCCAGATCAAGCCATCGGTGCTCTCAAAATAATTTCTCCAGTAACTACGCAACGACTGCTGCCCCCCAACATCCCATATGTTCAGCGTACAGCCATGCAGGGAGAAAGCGGTAATCTGAAACCCAAGTGTAGGGCTAATCGAGCTGGTGTCTTTTCCGCAAAATTTCTTGATGCAGGTCGTTTTTCCGGCGTTGTCCAGGCCCAGCATAAGGATGCGCATCTCGCGCTCCTTTCGCTTCGTTTTGCGGATTATTGACAGCAGTCCCATCTAAGTGCAGCTTGCTCCCCACCTCCACCCAAACAACGCTGAAGCCAAAAGGGCAAGTAGGAAAATGAAGAAAAGACAAAAAGGGAGAAAAGAGCATGCCGAAACAGAAACAACAGTAAATGGCGGGCAAACGAATTGCCGCAAGTAAGCAGCAGACACTACATACACACAAAGAAGGAAAAAAAAACACTTGTGCCCGAACCTCGTTTCCCTACAAGATCAGTTTCCTATTTGAAGAGGAAAAAAACCGTCTCCCACACAGACTAACTGCTACTAAAGTCCTAATAAAATTCCTAATCATTTGTTGCACTACCACCAGGCGGCAAGGCGAATACGCTCGTCATACCACTCCACATTTTTGTGTAGCGTGTGCATAAAAACAAACACGGGGAGCATCGCAAGGACGTAGAATTGAAGCATGTTGTACACCCACGTCCCCCAACGTGTCCCAAGAGAGAAGTAGGTACGCACCACCATAAAGTCAGTATAACGCTGCTCCACACCGGCAAGGTCCCAGTTCTTGTTGAACTCGCGCTTGTGGTACTTGGACTCCACGGACTCGTACTCCAGACGTCGCTTCTGCTCTGTACGCCCCCAGCCATACAGCATAGGGCCGGGCCGTGCTGGCCCCTTGTTCAGCATCTGTTTGCAAACAAGTGAGCGGCGCAACATGATGAAGTCCTACTGGCAAGCCTGCAAGAAAGTAGGAAACGAAAAAAAAAAAACAAGAAGAGTAGAAGGAAAACAATAAAAGCAGGTCAAATAATAAATAAATAAAGTGCAGAGTTAAAGGCAATACAAAGTCGCAATGAGACAAGGTTGTCCAAGCGGTGGAGGCAAGGAGATCCCAACAACGAAAGGAAACCGGGAAAGAAGGTGAAAACTGTAACGTTGCACAAACCACTCACGCGAAGCGACGAAGCGGCATATGGTGATGATGGTATTGTCGGTGTCCATCACTGCCTCTTCCGCCCTGCCCTGGCAGTGAGCCTCCGAATGCCAAGAACAGTGCGAATGTCAATCCAAATGGAACAGAGGACTTGAACGTGGTTCGAAGAACGCCCTCGAGGAAAAAAGGCAGGCCCATGGTTCGCAACATGTTCGTCATCACACCCCCAGCCTCCCTAAAAACAGCGGCTTCCCCCGCCAAAAAGACAGACATGCTACGCACGCCACCAGCGCGTTCTGTATTGTGCAAAGCCGATCGAAAGGTATTGCGTATGGGATTGGTGGCAAATGTTAAAAAAGCATGCACACGAAACGCGTCCCACCATGCCCCAAAAAAAACCATCGTGTCTCGAGCGCTGCAGTGCCACCAACGAGGCACCGTGCCAGACAGCTGAAATAAGCATCGTGGCCGACACTCCGGAGAAAAACGATAGAATCCCGTATTGCCTGGTGCTCTCTTGCAAGCAGTGAATAAGAGATCTATAGGTCACTGCATCGTATCTGCTACGCGGGCCACCTACGCGACGAGCAATGGTTCGAACAGCTACCTTGCCCATGCCATGGAACGTTCCAGCGGCGAGCGCCCCCAACAACCCACCAGATCCGAGCGCAAACCCACCATAGAGAAGACCCCATGGCAATGCAAGAAGCAAAGGTTGCGATGGATTTAAAATCATCCCCTTGTACCGCGCCAGCGCGTATTGAATTGGGTCCAGGCTGGTAAACGGATTCACACGAAAGATCTTCGTGTAGTCCCGGTAGGGATACAGAACGAAGGTAGAAACACAGCTCGCCCCATACCCCACAAGAGCTGCCATAACACTGTTTACCATCCTCAGATGTGGGCCCTTACGGTTAAACTCTTTGCTGGCAATATGATAGTTGCTGCATGTGATGGTTATTGCAGACATTTACAGCAAGTCAAGGAAATGGAATATATATATATATATGTTTAGCAGACGCTATACACGGTAACATTGTATGGTGGGCAGAACCAGCAGAGCACGCACAGAAACACACACACAACAAAAAAAAAAGAGGTTGTCGTCTGTGAGGTGTGAATGTAACTTTTCCTTTCCGTTATTCCGTTGTTTCAAATTCACGCATCTGATACAACTGTCTTTCTATTCTATAAAAAATCCATGTCTGTCATTTATCATGAGAAAGCGGAAACATTTTCAGAACTTTTGTCCACAGAACGCTGTAAGGCTAATCTTCCAGGAACACTGAGTTGGTCCGCATTGTGCATCTCCCATTGCTCCGCCTCGACAAGCACAAATGGGTTGCCCGGTGAGGCACATGCCTTCCTCTTGAGCTGTAAATTGTTTTGAAGGAACTGTTCCTGGGAGATCCAGACGCCACGATTAGGCAAGCTTTGCACAAAAGGGTTTTTTGTAACGAAGCCCGAAAAGGCGTTCATCCCAAGCGGAACATCGTCTCCAAACGCAGGCCCTTTTGAGCCAACTGCCTGCCGAAGAACAGGGTGCCAAAGGTCCTCGTGAAAAGACTCTACGTTATCTATACTTGTGATGGCCGCTGTGAGGCTTAGGCATATCGCTTCACTCCCGTCTTTAAGCTCAAGAAAGTTGCCGAGTGCTGGGTGGTCGTTTCGAATCCAAAACGGTGACTTAAATCCCAGTTCGGCAGCGGCCGCTTGAAGGTTATCTACAACCTCCTCCCGTGAAAAAAACAGTCCAGTCAATCCACAACGTGGGAGGTAGCTTTCATCACGGAGCTCGGCTCCGCGCTTCACCATGGAGCCATGATAAAATACGCGAGGCACAAAATCCTCAGCCGTGTCAGAAGGATTAATAAAATACTTTGGAAGGGGTAGAGTAAATGTTGGGGCATCTGTTATGAGAGCGCAGTCACTAGAGCCACCAACCACTCGCCTGGAAAAAAAATCCTGACGGGCAGCATTCCTCGTAAACTGAGCATACGTTGCAGCATTATTTATTTTTAACTGGTCCAACAATGACTGTGCGTTATGAACTTGAAAGGGCAAACCCAAAGAAGTGGCATTGCACATCAACTGTAATTGGCGAAATAGACTTAACTGTGCAACAGGGGGAGATTTCCGCCGGTACGCCATCTGGCTGGAAACACTCAATCCCACTATCTTCTTTTACAGGATAGCATAAAGAAGAATTTTTTTTGGAAAAGAAGGTTTTAAAAAAAAGATGATTAGATACATAAGAGCGATGATTGCGTTTCCATTGTCACCAACAACACGCCAAAAAAAAAAGAACTCATCTTTGAAAAGCGGTGTAGTATAAACTCACGGCCAATTGCTCAGGTCACTCAAGAACACAGAGGCAAATATATGTAAATATATGTATATACAAACCTACAAATAATAATAATAAACGTGAAACTTTACAGCTTCTTGTCCAGACCCAAGTGTTGATCATCTAACATGGAAAAGAGGAGTTTTTCAAGGTCTCTCAATGCATTAACCTGTAGCCGTTCAGGTTCTGTGGAGCATTCATTTCCCAAAAGATGAATGCTTTCCAATACAATTCTATAGTCCTGTCGCATCGCCTCCTTCATGGACATTAAACGATCCTTCTCATCTTTTAAGTGTTGCCGTTCCCGTTGGTGCCGTGAATACAACTCCTTTTCCCGCATCTCACACACGTCTTTTCTAGAAGCTAATTCTTGTTCAAGTATCCGGATCCGTTCAGCGGCCTTGTTTTCAGCAAGACCTGCATGCATCTGTCGCGAAGAAATCAGGCAAACAGCCCCTAACATTTCTTGTCGCATGATATGCATCCGCCGAATTGATTCTTCCTTTTCAACCCCAAAACACCGCATTTCTATATTGTACAGCTTTTCAAGTTGATGTCTTCTCTCTTCCGTAGCTAGAGCAGATACCCTCGCTTCCTCCAGAAATTGTTCAGCTTTTTCCCGTGCGTAGTGCATACGAGCTCTTTCCGCTTCAGCTTGTCGTTGCGCCGGTATGATCCCAGCCTCAAAAGATGCCTGATGAGACCTTAAATTAGCTTCACGATTCAAAAGTTCCGTCTCTTTTTCTTGCAGACTCTGTAAACGGCGTTCGCACTCTTCCGTTTTAACCACGAGAAGTCGAGCCTGCGCATCTACATCACACAATCTTTCTCTAATTCTTTTATCTTGGTTCATGAGCTCAGCGGCGTGACATCGCTGAGCATTTTCCATGTCGCGTTGAAGAGCCTCAGCTCTGGTGCGCTCCTGCTTTAGCTGCTCCGCATACGCGGAGACACTCAGCCGAAGATGAGTTATTTCCAATTCAGCTTCACGCAGGTGGTCCTTCAAGACTCTCTTTGAATGCTGTCTATTATGAAAGTGGTGCTGAAGCAGACTCTCCAATTCAAGACTTACCTTGACACACGGGTCATGAACTCGATTGCCCACCTCCATGATGTCTCCCCACGAGAAAATAACAATAAGCATAATAATAATAAAAGAGCAGAAGCAGCCAAGGATAAAACCAAGTAAACAGGTAATGGCAACAAAAGAAAAAAAACAGCAGGAGCAATAAAAATTCACAACCAACACCGCAAGGAAGAAGATCAACAAATATGACCAAAAGGGGGCTACCTTTATATCCATTCCTCTCGCATTTTTTCCTCTGCAATATATCTAAACCCTCTACAAACGCACCACTCTCCGTTGATGTTTTTCTACTACTTCTTCTATGTTGTCCCAGGCAAATTCATTCAAATTGCCTCAAATCTTAATTCAATGCGGGTCGCTTCTTTGGACGACGGAGAGGACCCTCCGTTAAATTAAGACGTTCGACAAAAATGGGACGCTCCATCTGGTTATCGGTACTCGTGGCAACGGGAAGTTTTCTGATGCCCCTTTTCAGCAAAATATTCTGATGAC